CTACTCTAGGGAAAACCAGAGGCACAGGCAAAACCCAATTAAAATCCTGCTCTGCAACACACACACGTGAAGCCGGCTCCAGCCCTTCTCTATGCAGCATCACAGCTGCATTTATAGTGTTTCCCAAACTGATAAATGGGCTGAACACTAGGCTGAAATACCTCTTCTGTTTGTTTTTTCCCAAAGAAGAAAAGGTATTTCCAGGGGGACATTGCTGAGCTCCTCTGCAGCTCCCTCGTGCCCCTAGGCTGGCTCCAGCAGGAGCTCCAGCTCACGGGGAAGGCGGCCGCGCTCTCCAGAGYGTGCGCTGGGCTGACACAAGTCACCCTCCAAGCAAGCCTGGAAAGGAGAGTTGCCAGCCCAACCTGTCAAACAACAAGCTTGGACTTAATACGTTCACAATTCAAACCTAGGAAGGTACAAAGCGAGGCTTACTTCTTTCTAGCAGCAGGATTCGACTTAACTTTCCTAGAAACAGAAAGTTTTGCTAGTGGGAAAGCTTAGCACCGCGCTTACAAGGGGATCTTCAGTCTCCTCTGTGCATGCTTTCCTACTGAATCCATCTAGTTCTCCTTTCAAAATGCTGTGCACAGGGTTTTCTTAGCCCCTCAGAAACTGTACCTGGAGCAGCAGGTATTTTTCTTGGCATTCATTTGATGGCAGACTACAGGTCCTGCACTTCTACCTGAGCCTATGAAACACTGCGGGCGCCTCTCCAGCTCCTAGCAATGCCCACCGTTCCAAAAACCAAAGAGTTTTAGCAAAAGAAATACCTCTTCCACTCAACGTGTCCCTGAAGTCACCTCAAAGAGGATTGGGCTGGATAAAAGGGAGGCTTGACGCAGTCTTGCCAAGTAGTCTGCAGCCTAAAGCATCACCTCTACTGGCAGGGATGGCTGCCTGGGAGCCCCAAGGAGAGGGAGCAGCTGGCATGTGTGCACAAGCCCACATTTAAGTAGCAAAGCTGTTTTGCATGCGAGGGGAGGTTCCAGCTGAGGTGGACAAATGCTAGTGAGAGACTTCCATGACCGTGCTAATTAAGCAGCACACACCGCCCGCCTGACTGACGGGGCTGTGGAATAGCTTTCTTGCTAGTGGTTAAGGAGCTYGGCGTGCTGTCTTACTTCCCTGTCCCCTCATCTGCAGAGCGGGAAAGAAGTTCCTCCTGGCACAGGGATTCCCAGGGATTCCCAGGGACAACTTGCAGAGCGCTCCTGAGCRCCAGGGAAGCTCGGCCGAAGAAACCCCAGCGTGGCTGGAAGCGGCTCTACGTGCTCTGCAGTGTTTCCCAGTGCTCTGCCCGCCTCCTCCCAACAACATGCTGCTTCCAGGTGACGACGTGGGTGAACCCAGGAGTCTCCCCCAGCTCGTAAAGGGATACTGTAAATAATAATGTAAATACAAGGGATAATGTGAAGGGATAAGGTGCCGTTACAGGTGTCACTGCTGCAGCAGGGATGGGAGGGCAGCAGCACCTCCTGCCCGTGGGGCTCCTGCGTGCCTTGGAGGCAGGGCCTGCAGCAGCCCCTGCCAACAGCCCCGAGCTAAGGAGGACCAGGGGCTTGTGGCTGCCCCTAAGGAGGACCAGGGGCTTGTGGCTGCCTCACGTTACAGGCCTGATGCTGTGCTGCGGCTGCCAGAGGGGTGGCTGCCTTTCTCATTCCGTGCCGTTGCTCCTGCTTCCTCCTCTCATGCATTCCCACTGCTCTCATTAGTGCTTCTTGTCTCTGAAGTGATCTAGCTGTAAGAAACTATGAAAAAAAAAGAGAAAAAAGAAACCAAATAAAAGTCCTACAGCCAGATATTGCTAATAGTGAAAGAGGAGGAAACCAACCCCCGCACTTGGAGGCAGTTGTGCAAGGCAAACAAGGAGTTGCAAGGGTGTGGATTTACAACCACCCGATTTAGTTTGATGCTGTTGCTTTTCCGTCTCCCCTCTGTCTTGAGCAACCACAACTCCCTCCCCATCCCCGCACCGACGCTCATCCTCCCTGGCTGCGGTCGGGAGGAGCAGACCCAGAGCGAGACCCGGGGTCACATCAGCTGGGCCGTGAACCAAACGAGGGGCGCAGGGCGAGCGCTGCCGTTTGCCAGCCCACGTGGGACCCGACCACGCGTGGGCAACCAGGGTCTCACCCCGGCCCAGCGCTCTTGGCATCCAGGCCTGCAGCATCGCCCACGGACACCACCCTCTGCCTGCAAAAAGGTTACCGTGTCCTGAAAGAAAAAGTGCTTTCCCAAACGGGGATATCTCTCTCTGGAAAAAAAAATATTAGTTACTTCTTACTGTGGACATGCTGGGTATGATCCCCTCTTTTTCCTTTTGGCGTAAATCAGAATTTGTGGCACCAGAGGAGTTTAAAATAGGTATAGGTCTGAGCAAGAGTCAAGCTCTTCTATTGTTCTACGTATTTCTTTGCTCTTATGTATGAATGTTGCAATGAAAATGTTTTAAAAAAAGTTGAAAAATGCAAATGGGGTGTGTGGGTGCGTTAATAAGAGGATATAAAAATAATGCAAAAGATAATATAACGACAGCAGAGTGAACAATGGCGCATTTGCATTGGGAGGCCCGTGTTCAGGTGCCACCTCTCAGGATCGATACAGCAGGAGCTGACAAGGACCGCCGCAGAACGGCCTCTGGAAGCACGCGGATGTGCGTGTACCTGAAAGGAGATTAATGAGAAAACAAAGGTTTCATTTAAGGAAAGACTGCTATCTAGGCGGTCAGAAGTTATCCATGTGTGTCACTGTACGGGTATTATTGTTGTAGGCTGCTGTACGTGTAGCAATTTCCCGTGCACGGTTTCAGCCCGAATTCATTGCATTTCAGCCCGCAGGACGTCTCCCAGCTCCGGTGCCCGGACTCCTGCCGGGGTGCCGGTCCGGGCAGCAGCCGGGTCGGTTCGAGAGGGCTCCTGGTCATCGGACCATGTGAGGAGTGGCCACACGTTCCTGCAAGTTCGTGGCTAAAAGGCTCCGGCTGCTCTGCAGGCACCAGGGAATTTGGCATCACCTGAGCAGAGCCTAAATCACACAGACCGTGCATGAACGCCTGCTCTGCCAGAGGAAAGCACAAAGCCAGCATGGAAATAGGAATGGGCTTAGCCCGTGGAAATATGAGGTAGATACTGAAGAGCTTGTGGGGCACAAGGAATTTAGGAATTTTATTCCCATTCCGGTTAGGGAAATGAGCCTTGGCACATTTGTGATCAGCACCTCATAGTCCTCTGCTGCCCCAGGGAAAAGTAACTGCTGGAAAACAGAAGGAATGGGGTGCTCGTCTCTCTCAGGGCTCATACACACTCCATTGATCCCAGTTCAGTTACTTTTGACTCACACAGGACGAGCGAGCCAAGGGCTGCTCCCCATGTTTACTCTCCCAGTAATGATCAGCCTAACTCTTTAAGCAAAGTTCTCCCTGGATTGCTCAAAATCTGCTCTCGCAGCCCAAAGGATGATGCCATCGCTGCAGGATTGGTTTGCTTCCGACAACCCCCCTGGGAGTTTCAGGTTTGTCCCAGGATGTTTGCACTGCCTGTGAGAGGTGGCGTGTTTCCAAGCAGCCTGCCCCGTTAGAGCATTTTCCCATTTGCTTGGGTAAGGACTCACTGGATCACTTGTCATCTGTGATCCCTGGATCACCTGCAAGACGCAATAAAACTTGAGCCCCTCACTCTGCACCTCCAGGACACTCGTGCAGCCCTACATTGAGCACAGGGCTGGTCTCATTCACCCCGAGCACCCTGGGGACAGAGAGGTGCCCAAATGCCAGCGCATCCTTCATTCCCTCATCCCTTGAGCTCTGGGAGCAAGAGCCAGCTCCGATGTAAGCTCGATTAATCATTAGAGAACTAACTGCTGACGGCCCCTCTGCCCAGCCTGGGCCCACAGCTGACGCAATGGGCTCTATCACACCAGTGATGTGACCATGAAGCCATGAGAACTGACCTTGGATGAGCCAAAGCTTTGCTCCCTTATCGTCCAGGCTTCCGTGCAGCAGACTGGACCCGCGGAAAATAAGCCTGGATTCTAAAAGGAATAGGATACTGTCATGACCAACAGAAGTATTTTGAGATGGAAACAGCACTTTGCATGTTACGTGAATTTCAGAAAAAAAATAATCAAGGGAAAGGCTGGCACCAGCCTCAGCAGGCAACATGATGGTTTTATAACACTCAGRCTGCAGGCTTGGAAATATTCAGCGACTTATCCAAGGATGAGGGAAGCGTTCCCTCCTAAGTATAGCACTGCGTAGTTATCCATGGAAATTATGGGTTCGTTTGTCTTTGCTTGTAGCAGCAGGCCCAAAGCTGAGCCCAGAGGAAGGACATCCAGATGATACGATAGCTAGCAAGCCTGTCCAGGAGAACAGCAAATGTCAGCACAATGTGAGGAAGAAGTTAAAGCATTTCAAGTAGAAAATTATAATTAGTTTTGGTGTGAAAAGATGTAAAAGCATTAAAYTAAAAGCAGGTGGCTCTGCTCTATCCACTCCAGTGCCCAGGTATGTGATCTTACATGAAAATACAAAAAGGCAACTAAAAAAAATCATAAATTTTGGGCCTTTTCAACTCAAAGGACTGCAAAGAATGCAAAGCAGGAGCAGCAGCTCAGCCCTTGGGCCTTAAGAGTGGCATTTGCTGTTCCCACTAATGTGAGTTTGCAGGTTCGGCCCGCAGTTTCGCCCAGTTGTTAAAGATTTATAGGGGAGGTTTAACAAAGCCCTGTCATTAAACCTTTGGCACAAGCCGTGCCAGGGACACAGAGTTCATGTTTATACCGACTTATCTGGGTAAAGGGAAAGCTGTTCCTTTAAATTATGTGTGCTGTGACTCTGGAAAGTGAGCAAAGCAAGTCCGATGGCAAGCTCCACTTTTGATCAGACCCGATAGTAAGAGCAAGGACGGACGGACACAGAGACCTGGAGCGGGACAGAGCTGCCGTGGTGCCCGGCACCGGCCCACGGCCTCCGTGCGGCTCGGGAGAGTTGGATCCGGCTCTGTGGGACGCTCGAGAGAGTTGGATCTGGCTCTGTGGGACGCTCCTCGCGCAGACGGCCAGGGAAGGACCAGCTCGGGCTTGGGCTGCTGGGTGAGTGAGCAAAAACCTCTGCTTGGGGAGGCTGCAAGAGAAATGGTTGGAGGAGGAAACGTCATATAAATAAAGAGGCACAAGCCCAAAGCCTGGGGAGCACCCGCTTGCTCTGTGGGGGATAGTCGTCCTGAGCACTCCAGACACCACACAGAAGAGACCCCGTTGAGATATTGGCAAGCAGAAAGGAGAGGGAAAAACACCTCCGGAGCAGCCTGACAGGCGTAAAAGCACCGTGGGGAGGGACCCGCTGGCGGGGAGACCGGGCTGCACAGAACCGGTATTGGGGTGACAAACTAACTGCAAACTTGCCCAGGCCAGCGAGCTGCCGCTCTTTCTCCAGGGACAGGACAAGGTGTGATTTTTCCTGGCAGCTGTTTAAGTGTGATCTTGAGGGGTTTTTAAAATTATTTTTATTTTATTTATTTATTTTTTTAAATAAAAGCAGGAAATATGAAAAACAGCCCGTTTTTCCCTTAATGGCAGCCTGATCCATCCCCTTAGCTCATCTTTCCTTTCGCTCCCAGGAGACCAATTGCTGTGCATCCAGCACAGCGGCGAGCACCATCCCAGCAATTAGGTGTATTTTTAAATGCACAAAGCGAATGGGGACTCAAACCTCCTAAGAACAAGCTACCTCCCGAGAACCCAAATTATTGGCAGATTCAGCTGTTTCACTGAGATCTGGAACTGGCAGGTTTACTGGAAACAGGGAACTGCACTAAAAAGTAGGAAAGATTTTAAAATGCCATTGCTGAGCCTGGAGAGGAAAATAAAATAAAATAAAATAAAATAAAATAAAATAAAATAAAATAAAATAAAATAAAATAAAATAAAATAAAATAAAATAAAATAAAATAAAATNATAAAATAAAATAAAATAAAATAAAATAAAATAAAATAAAATAAAATAAAATAAAATAAAATAAAATAAAATAAAATAAAATAAAATAAAATAAACTCCTAGGCTGAGATTCATTTTAAGAACTAAGAACTAGATGGACATTTTATCCAGGTCTGGCCTTATCCAAACTCCATTGGGGACGGATGCATCTGATCCGTAAATTCCAGAGTATGTGTGGAAACAACCCAGCAATTGTCAGACAAGAAATGCCCAGAGAGAGGGGAGCTCTTGCCTCTTGTCCCTCGCAGCCGCAGCTTGCAGAGATCGTGTGCAGGACAGTCTGAAAGGTTTAATGGCAGAACTGAAGGGTTTAATGGCAGAACTGAAGAGTTTAATCGCAGAACTGCTGTTATGGTGCCTGCACACGGGGCCAATACTCAGGGTTTGTGCAGAAACTCTGCTTTGGAAGCAGCTTATTCTGCATTTTCTGCAGGCAGTTATATCACGATCCTTCCCGCAGCGATGCCTGCAGGCCATACTTCACGCTTCCCAGCAGCTCCCCATGGAAGCAGCCCCATTTGGGCTGAAATAAGACAAACTGACAGGAGTCAGTACAAGCTAACGCAGTTGGGTAGCCCAGTCTCCTCCCCTGAAACGTCTTTGACGCAGATGTCCAGCAGGTTGCTCAGATCGGCCGCGCGGCCTCGCTCCAGGCCAGCCGGGCACGTCCCACCAGTCGCACGGGCTCCCCGTGTCCTCCCGGCCTCCGGATTTGCCGCAGACTCCCCATTCCRACGCCCCTCGCGTCCTCCACCCAGTGACCACAGCGGCAGGAAAACCCGAGCGCTCTGCTACTCCTCGAGCTGCACACCCAGCCCTGACTTCACCTGCTTCTGCAGGAAACCATAAAATAGCAAATCCTTTGAGTTCTTGCCTCACAGCAGCTCAAATAACCACCTGTGCTCATTTCTTCCACAAGTGTCTAGCACACGAGCAGCAGGTCTAGAAATAGCAGTCGGTGGAGCTGGACTTGTTCCCAAGAGCAGCCAAAGGGTCTGGGGCTGCCTACCTGCTAACCAGGCCTGAAAAGCTTCAGCCAAGACATCTGCTAATCCCCTCTTCCATGTAACCCGGCCTAACTAAACCTTGCTGCTTGCAGTGAAATCTTATTCCCAGGAGACCATTTGTCATCCCCTCCTCTCAACTGAACCATTTCATCACAAACTAAGCTTTCTGTACTAGTCCCTTTGAATTTTTAGAGGCCGTGGCATTTCTGGACAAAGTTTAAGCATCACATTGCATATTCTTTCCATGGAAAGCTTCCCATGGAAAGCTTCTTGGGGTTCAAATAAGCAGAAGCAAGGACTGACAAGTCCCATGAGCCGCCTTAGAAAACAGGGCAGAGCAGCAGCAGGTTGAGGCCTTCTGGTGGCCTTGCACATGGCCTTGGTGTCCTGTGCTCCGTGGCCATGCCCTGCCATTTGCACCTCGCCCCATGCTGGTGCTTGAGTATTCCCAGCACCCCAGGAGCAGCAGCCGTTGGGTGGGTGGATATTCACCCATCTCCCAGGAACAAGRTGGGAAAACCTGGGGAGTTTAGCCCACGGCTTCCTAGCGACACTTTTACCTGGTATCTTCAAGCAAGGACAAAGGACGGGCGCCAGAGAGGCAAGAGCAGCTGAGCAGCAGGGAGGGAGCAGGCGGGTTCCTCCAGAGGTTGGAGCTCCGGGCAGTGCAGAGGGAGACGGCAGCGACGCCAGGGCGGGCAGGGGGAGATTCTGCCACGTCTACTTGGCAAGACCCTCTCAGAACCTTCAGGCAGAGATACACAGCACGGCACAGGCCTCCCTTTAAGAAAAGGAATAAAAACAAAGTCAGGTTTTTGTTTAAGTAGTTTTAGCAGCTTAGAATGAAAAGCTGAAAACAACCTGGAGATTTCTACTTGTGCTCCTCCATGCAGTTCCAAAGACTAGGCTGACTCTGCCCGTGCAGAGGGAGAATGCCTTCACAATGAGATATCTTTGAGCAACGACTACAATTATTATGGCATTTAAAGAAAGAACACATTTTCAATCATTATTTTTGACTTGYAAAGAAACAGTAAGCAGTCAAAAAAGACAAGTCATTCTGCCAGCAGGAAAAGAAAAAAAGAAAAAAGATGTTGCTATTTAAAGTTATTCATTATGCCTATATTGGTATATATTAGTTAATTTATACAGAGTAGCTGATAAAACTACTGCATTTTTCACACAGAAAGTTATGTGAAGCTGTCATGTGAAGCTAAGCATCCATTCCTGTTATATGCAAGTTGCCATTTATACGATGCCCTCACTTGGTGTCTGGGTTTACACGTGCGCATTTCCCTCTACCCCACAGAAGGTCCCAAGTTGCCAGACTTAATTCTGGAAACGTTTTTACATCCAGCAAGGCCAGCAGAGCCATTTTAAGCTGTTCTAGATGTATGGGTTTTACTTATTCTGTGTCCTCAAACCCTGTTCGCTTAGTCTCATGGTGTCTAAAGTACATGGCTTAAAGAGCTATATAAAACAAACCCAATGCCTTTATTTTTAGTCTCTGAAGTGTTTCTAAAACAGGTTCACTGTAACATATGTGAAGACATAAAAGTTTTATTGTCACTAGTGTGTAATGAACTACATAACTCGTTCTTGGTTTTGCTTGCTATAAATGAGGTGCCATCACTAAAAACATCAGGGTAATAAAACCATTCTGTTACCCCTTTTCACCTGGAAGACTAGCTCTGGTCTGTGTRGTTGTAGTTTGTTTCAGTTAAAAGAATCTGATGATAGAATTCAGYCTTATTTACAAAATCCTTGCAAAGTATTTGTTTTCTGAAGACGAGTGGAATGAAATGATTTGGATTTCCTTCAGGCAGTCTCCCCAGACCCGATCTCAGCTTTCCTCTGGCTGCTGCTGTGAAACTCTTCAGACTCTGTCATAGTTTCTGGTCCGTCTGCTCCCGTGCTCCTCATGGTTTCTGCCAGGAGGAAATCAAATCAGTGTGCCTTAATCAAGCACGAACTTCACCTTGCACCTCAATAGCTGCAATTCCCGCRGGAGCCCTCGCGTGCCTTCTTTTGGGCAGACACCCAAGGGGTGCTGAGCCACCCCTTGCAGCTATCCAGAAGGGTCATCTTCAGCAGGGGTTATCGCAACCAGCGAGAGAAGGGACAAGAACGTGCACAGAGATGAGTAGCTCCCTCTTTGATGACTTATCTGCGGCAAGCCAAGATGTTCCCTTCCAGCCCCTGTTACCACCCCTCCTCCTGATGCAAGTGAGTCCCGTGCAGCTGGGGTAGCTCCCCAGGAYACGTGAGACTGCCTCATCTTCCCCAGCCTAAGGCCTGTGCATTGGCTCAGACCAGCAWGGAGGCTAAAGGAATTCACAGCTGTCGAGAGCTGAATGTGCCGGTGCCTGGGGCTGCGTCTGTGGGTGTTGCTATTCCCCTGACTCAGACAGAAATATCTCCCAACGCAAACGCAGGGCTRAGCGTGCAAGGAGCCGGGCGCCTGYGGCGGGGCCGCCTGCGCATGGCCATCCCTGCAGGACTGGGATTGGGATCGGCATCCRCGGGAGCTGATGAGCAAGCCCTGCCGCCRGGTTTCGGACTGTGCCCCTCCTTGCAGCGCTGCTTCAGCCTCCTTAGGATGCACGGGGAAACAGCTTGCACTCCACTCAAAATACAGGACAACAGGGGGAGAAAATAATAATAGATAAAGAAAAAATGCCACAGCCTAATGCATGATGCATTTGTTCCGCTTTGGTTTGATCCACATTGTTGCAAGGAGGCAACAAAGGACCCATGTCAGTGGGAGGCAAAGGTTTRGCTTCAGTTTGCACAAGACACTTAAAATAATGAAAACACGTTAGAAAGAAAGTGATCCAATGCAGCAAAACAGGCGTTTGCTTGTACGTTCCGGCTGTATTTAAAGAAGAAATACTAAAGAAGCCACGTCCACTCTGAGGGGCTGGAGATAATATTTCGTCTTAAAAGAACCTTGTCTGGTTCATCAAATCAAAATAAAAGCTCCATTCCTACATTCGGTGTGTAAAACCTTCTAGATCAGGTAATGAAAAAGGCTTACACTTAAGAAAAAATAATATATGAGAAGGGGAGGAGACTCTTTTTTGCCTTTCTACAGCATAAAACCCTACAGCCAAGTCAGTAACATCTGCAATGAACCCAAAACTCAAAGAAAAGGTTGAGTTGTAGATTATTTGAAAGGGCACCCAGTCTTCAGGTCAGACTTTTAGATTGTGGTAAAACTAACACCTCACCACCAGGTAACCTATTGCAGTGGTTAATTCYGTTCTGTATGAAAAGCACCTGCCTTTCTTCTGGTCTCATACATTCCTGGTGTAGTTTTTACACACAGTCGAGCCCRGGAACGCCGCACTGTCCACTCGAGYGGGTGGGTGTTGTTATYGTGTCCCTGGGGGAATGCATACAAGGACAACCGGATCAGGGCTCCTACCCTCCTGCGACTGTAGCGCCCGCGCGGGACAGCCACACAGCCAGGGTACGTTCATACCCGTTCTTCCTGCTCCAAAAAGTCTCCTACATTCCACAGCTGGAGATTTCAGCCTGTCCCTAATATAGCAACAAATTAATCACGCAATCTTTATTGCGCTTCCAGTCCTGGCAACAACACAAATCAAGCATTTTGTTGTTATTTCGGTATCACTAGGTATATATTAAGCACATACCAAGTACAAGACTGAAGACCTTTCAAGCAGACAACATATATTACCCAATTTGAAAGGGTAGCGAGAAATTCAATAAAGCAACAGACCCAGCAGCTGGCAGAGCCACTGCTGGTGCCACAGCCAGACCACGAGCTTTAAACACAGCCAGGTCACCCTCCCAAGGCAGCGGTGGGATCCTGCTGCGTGCCCACGTCCACGCTGCTTGGGGACTTACAGCCCTTTCTACGGTTCTTGCTAGCATTTTATCTGATGTTCCCAAACTCAGTTGCTCTTGTGTGACAGCAAATTCATGGCATTTGCTGCTAAATGCCACTTCTCACGCTGACAGGTAAAACTTCTAATCTGTCAGATTCCTGGAGGCTGAATTATGTGTGAGTCAAGATGCACATCCCGGTGATGCTCTACACGCATCACTCGGTGGTTTGACTGTTGTCATCTGACCTGCAGTCATTTCCCAGGGAGACTGCTACTTTATGGCTCTTCCTGAACCATAGGGCAGTGTCCTTGCTGGAAAGGCAAATTCAGTAGGAGGGGASCCTCAACAAGAAGCGTGATTCCAGCATGAGGTGTGAATGGGCTTGGGATGGGTCATTCCCCATGGAAAAAAACGACACTGAGCATACCTGGGGCTTCGAGGGATGAATAACTTGTGCAATTCACTGCAGAAACTCAGGGGAAGGCAATGATGGTCCCCGCCTGTCTGAGTCATCCTCTGCCACGCAGCAGCTTGACTGATCCTGCAGTAACACARTGATAAACTTCAATGTATTTTTTGAACCCATCCCTAGTTTTTAATAGACAAGAAGCAACTGCAAATCAATAATATTAGATGTTGTAACAGTAAATGGCATCTCAACAATTTCAAATTATTTTCAAATTATTTCAAATCAAAACTAATTATTCAAAATAATTAGTTTTGGAGACAGAAGTATTGCCTTCTGAAATGAATTTTCTTCCTGAACTCTTTATTAGAAATAATAATTTTTTTAAAAAGTGTTTATTGACACCACAAGAACTACATCTTCCTCCCCGCTTTCTCTCCTAGAAAACCTTGAAGTCTTCTTCTCATCCCCTGTTATATTCACTTCTGTTTAAACGCCGTGTTGGCTGAAGTCTCTTTCGTAGCCTAACAGCACCTACCTGCTTGGCACGGACACCCTGCATCCCCTGGCAAATTAAAGTGCATTTGACGCAGGTAATTCTGCTAGTTTGACAGCGCTACTGAACTCACACCTACGTCCTTAGGTCACCCAAATGAATGAGATTCACAGAGCCAGGAACAAAGCTCCTTCCCTACCAAAGAGCTTCACAAAGCCCCAGCAAGGGCATCTGTTTGCTTTCCTGCTCACCGGGCAATGGAAAGGGGAAAGCAGCTTTCTGCACAAGTCTCCTCCCCAGCCCAAGGAGCAGGGGAAAAGGGAGGCCCTTCAAAGCACACAGGAACTCTGAAATGGAGAATTCTTTGAAACAGAGAAAATTGTTACAGGTTCATCCCTTTGGCCAGCAAAGCATAAACATGTTTATAGAAGAGGAATGAATGGAAAACAGATGCATGTTGGAGTCTAGGGGTGGGAAGGGTTGAAGGTGTAGCACTAGTTGTGGTCCAGTTAACAGAAATGCCTCCATCACTACAGTCACTAACACAGGATCAAGCCCTTGGGACGTTAGTCTTGGGACAGGAGGAARCCCAGGAGAAAAGTCTGGGAAAAGAAATCGCCTGCTCTTCCTTTTCAGGCTGTCCCGAACAGCAGCTCTTTTMATTTCGCGGTTCCACAGAAACTGTCTCAGTGAATCTCTGTCCCTTGGAGCAATTTACCAACCAAACTCACCACCGCAACCAACAAACATGTCCTTCATACACTTCCAGTACCCCTGGAAGTGGGCCCAGAGCAGTCACCAGTTCCAAACAGCCTCAAAGTCTTGGCAGAACTGAAGTCAGGATTCCAATTTAGCAGCTATGAGCTGCACATTGTGGTTCAAGTTAGGAACAGAAAAAGCAGATTTTCTCCTCTCCCAGAAGGATCCAGGGAGCAGAGCAATGCAGGCCCAGGGCAAGACCTCAGGCTGTGACCCACCCTCATAAGGATAAAGCTCTCCAAAATTTTGGAAAACAACAGAATACTCACACAAGTTGTCCCATCTGACCAACCTGGAGTAGCTTGGGTAGACAAGTACATCTTCCCACACAGGAGGAAGGTTTGGGGCACACTGGGGTCCAGAGAGACCCAGAAAACCCAGAACAGAAAATGAGGCTGTTACCCTCTACAGTRTTGGGTGTCCTGTAAGGTATCAAGCCAGTGCTCTCCTTAAGTTCTCAAAACAGCAGCTAATGACTGATGTTTGGTCCTAATTTGCACCCTTCTCTCCATGAACTGTCACTTTTATATTCACATTGCCTCTGTAGGATCTCTTTCTACAATTCATGATAGTGCCAGCAGTCACAGAGTTGTGTGTGTCCTCAGCAAGGCTTTTACAGCTCTAAGGATTCAACAAGACTAAGCTGGCACCAAGTACTTATGTGGTCAGTTCAGGTTTAACCCCTTTTGCAGTGGCAGGAGGAGTCGCTGCTGTTGGGCTGTTGCTCTGGTTGGGCTCCTGGGAATGCTCAGGGATAGTAGAAAGGTCTGGACCCCGCAGGACCTCTGCACTGAAATCCATGGGTCATGTGCAAGGATGCCTCCACCTACGAGGACAGTTCTGGGAAATGATAAAATCAAGTCTTGGTGCTCCCTATTGCTGTGTAAGGTGTTCTCTTCTGCTTAGCAAGTGTCCTAGCAGGGTTTTCCTTCACTTGCTTGCTCTGCAGAAGCAAGTGTTGTTAACAAGGGACAGGAAGTCTCTGATCCCTGAAACAGGGATTCGTTCCTGCAGCACAGGGAGCAGGACGTAGGTAACTCATGGAATAGCAGGACCTTCCCGCAGCTTTTGCTTTCTACTCCTTACAAAAACAAGAACAGAGCCACGGCCTGCATCTGCTCTAAATCAACTGGCGTGTGTGAGATGCTTGCAAGTGATGAGAGGGTCCAGTCCTTAAATGAGCAAACGCAGTCATTTTCTCAGTGCTAGCTGGAATCCTGCRGCGTGTCACGACAGGACAGCAATGCGCACGTCAAAGCGGGGCTAAACATGTTTGAAGGAGGCTTGCACRCTGTGGGATGGCCTTCCTCACCGCCATCCCAGGCGAGAAATCCTGCAGAGCCTCCATCGCCCTGTGCAGCGGAAACATGGAATTAACTCAGACTTCTCTCTCTTTCTGCTCTGTTTTGTGCTTGTGTGCGTGTGTCCAGCTGTACCTCAGGTGGAGCGGATGGCATTACGTGCCCCGGGCAGCGCCGCCGCTGATGGAGGCCGCCAGGGCCGCGCGCGGGAGGCCGTGCAGGGGCGCAGCGGAGCGGCTGCCGGCGGGCGCTGCCAGGGCCCTCCCCAGCACGTCCTCACCGAGACGGGCCCCGTCCCTGATGGGCAGCCAGAGGCGCCCACGCACCACATCGCCATCCAAAGAAACTCCAGGTACTATCGGTCCATGCGGCGGAGCAGAGGGACGAGGAGGCCCACGGGAGAGGCAGAGCACACAGGACGTGCCRCGGGTGAGTCCGGCCCCAGCAGCATCTCCCTGCTGTGAGACTTGGAAGTAGAGGAGTTTACAAGAGGACTTAGAGGCTCTTCAAGCTTGCTTTGGGGTGGGAAATCCAAGCAAAACGTTGCCACCCCGTTACTCTCTAAGGGAGAAATAAGCAGGGAAAAACATGAAGTTGTCAAAAAGAGTAGGTATTTCTTTGCCACACAGAAAGCACAAATGATAAAACCAGGATTTATACAAATAGCTGTATGGCAAGGCGGGTGAAAGAAATGACTAGCAAAGAGCAGCATGAGTACGGATCCAGCCTGCAGAAATCGCARTGGGCTTCAAGGTGGAGACAAACTTTCCTGCAAAAGCAGTTACCCCACAGTGAAGATGGGTGTAAGAAACACCTCGGTGCCCCTAAAAACCTGGGCCTGAAGCAGCACTCAAAGGAAGGGAGCTCTCAACAGGCACAAGAGACCTGGGAACGGGGCTCCAGGAAAATGTGAGTGGTTTTAAGGCAAACGTTAATCAAGCACGATCTGCTGAGAGGGAAAACGCCCGGGTGCCCAGAGAAACCGAACTCCGACGTTCCCTGTGAGTGGAAGGAAAGCAGCAGAGATACCCCAAACCCACCAGATTTCAGTCCAACCAAAACGAGACGCCGGGCTCTGAGCCTTGGCTAGCGGCAYGGCCAGAAAGGAGGAGCAGTATTCCCGACTTTCCGCGTGCTGAGCAAGCCATGGACTCGATTCCTGCGCAAAGCGGTATTTAAAGTACATTACTGCTGCTCCTGGAAGGAGCCCAATCCTCCAGGAGGCCAAGGACCGCCGCCCTGCCACGAGCTCTGGGAGGTGCCCCAAGAACATCGGTGTCTGCTGGCCTCCTCCTCCTCCTCCTCGCTGTTCCCGTGAAAGGGCCCATTGACTCGCAGGGTGCGGGCAGAGGGAAGGTTCCCGGCCTGCTCCAAGTTTCCACCAGAGCACAGAGCTCCCGCCTGACACTGAGCGGGTGGGGAGGCCGGTGGGTGCGCTGGGGTTGCAGGGCGGCCCCAGGTCCTGCCCCGAGGGCTGCGGCTGGCACAGAGGCACCGCTCCTCCCTCGGAGCCGCTCGCGCAGCRTCCACCACTGCCGGGCTGCCCGCCACTCCCTGCGCTGCCCCTTGCGCAGCTGGACCCGTCCCTGGCTCCTCCGCATCCACAGGGAGCACAGCGGGACCTGCCGGCAGCCCCAGCTCTGCCTCCACTGCAGCAAGCCCAGCTCAGGGCCACAGCTCTTAAACCCGGCTGGGACTGTGCAAGCCGCTCCTCTGCCTTCTCCCTGCGCTCCGCTGCTTCCAGCCCCGCGCCCAAGAACGGGGCAGCGGCTGCTTTGTCACCGGCCGCGTCTGTAGCAGGAACTCGTCCTGGCAGCCGTGGCTGCGGTGCGTGGATCAAGGCATGGGTGAGCTCCTCTTCCTCGGCTTCCCTCTGCTCTGCACAGCGGCTCTGCGGGCCCAGCTCGCTGCTACCAACCTGCTGGCTTTGCTTCAGAAGGTGCCCGGCAGCGGGGACAAGTGAGGGAGGAAGGAAAAGGGGGAAAGATGCAGGGGAAAAGGCAGGATAAGATACCCAACAGGGGCAAAAATAGGACATAAGAAGTGAGAACAGGAAAAATAACCTAAACGAATGTAAATCCAGCCRTTCTGTCTAAGCCTTTTCACCAGCTATCTTTGGCTTATAGCCCGAGCACTGTAAAACATAATAGATGCTTTCCCTTAACTATAAAGAGTTTGTATTTTTAAAAACAATTTCMTCTGACATGAGGATAAATTGTTTAGCCTGTTCCCAAGGCAAAGAGAACAACTCAGTCTAGTTTTTCACAAGCCCCCGGCATTCCTTTAGGAAGTTAGAGAAGTCTGAATTTCRTGTTTTCCTGCTGAAAATCAGTGCAATTGATTAAAAGGGCACGTCAGAAACCAGCTGTGCTGAGAGCTTTGCCGTGCCCAGGCTGCCATCCGTCTGAAATGGAAGCAGTAGCATGACTTGGCCCACAATATTTCTGATAGAGCAACAGGCYGTTTATCAACAGGCCGCGAACAAGAGGAGGCTTCATGCGAGAGGGGAGCCGCAGCCTCTCCTCCTGCCAGGGACTGCAGCAACAAGCCTGGCCTTAACACAGCCTTGGCTCCATGTGAACGGATCACAGGTTCATTTGAGGGAAAGCGGAGAAGAAATGAAGAGCAAAGCTGCTGTCTCACCCAAATCTAGCCTTGATTTCTCCATCGGACTGAACTCCTACTGTGTGCTTGAACGCAGAGCAATAGTAAAGGCYTGACTTGGGAAGCGCGGCAGGGCTAGACCTTTTCTCCTTAAAGGATCGCACTGAGGACGGCCCATGCYGAGGCCCATTTCTCTGGGGCTAGAAAGGCACTTACACACGTAAGGATGGATATAGTAAATCTGCACGCACCTCTTCCTGGTGGCATCCACAGCTGTGGCAATAGCTGCCTGATCATGTAATATACAGGCAAATGCTGCTTAATCTTGATCAAAAATCCAAGCTCAAATGCAGACTTCTGCAGGTCTGGGGTCTCACAGTTGCCTTGTCTGCAAGTAAACTGCTACTTACAGCGCAAGCAAAGATGGCCCTTAAAAAGGAATTGTTTTAACTCCCTCTTGGTTTTGTTTTCTGGCACAGGTTCACTCAAAGGCAATGAGCGCATGGACGAGCCTCTGACCATGGCAGTTTTGTCCCAGGAGGGGTCRGCGCCCGCAGCAAGCTCTCTTGTGAAAGCGTTGGAGGAGCTGTGGATCCGAAGGTAAGGAYGTGCACGCTCGGCAGGATGGCATCACGGCAAAAACGCCGGGTTTTCCTTTGCTGGACAGTTGGACCAAGCTGTAGCTATCGATCCACGCCTTCTCAGCCAGACCTACAGCGCTATTTTCAATTTCATTTTAATGCCATATATCATATCATGCTAGAACTCTGGCACAAAAGGCCCTTCTCCGCATAAGATTGGCAAAAACAAAACCCAAGTGGAGGAGAAGTGGAGAGAGAGTCGCAGTTGGTTCCGTGGAAGATCAGGCAGAAAGTGTTAAATGGTTGCTCTCTAAAGGCACACACATTATGCTGCATCGTGTGGTCCAAATGACAGAGTGCAGCTATGTGCTGTCGTACGGCACAGTGCCTTTCCAGGCACCCTTCCTTAGGGAGAGGATTCCAGTAAAGAATTTTAGCCAATCTATCAAGTCAGATTTAAATAAATTAATTGTCCTGGCTGAAATTGATTGCCCTTTGGCATTAAACTGAGCATATGAAACTAGGCAGCTACAGTCTGCTCAGATGTCAAACCCATCTGTCTTCCTCTCCATGTGGCATAATCATCACTGTCAGAYTCTGACATCCTGACACCGCCACTTAGGCGGCTCCTAAACGCGCAGATTCCAATTCTCCCTGGAGCCAGGAACAACGTGCCTGTGCTGGGAGCCCGTTTCATCAAACGCGCTGCTCTGCACAGGGCTTGGCAGGTCAGCACGGGTTGCAAGTCGTGCRGCTGCTGAAAGCCGGCAGTGCTGCTCAGCACCGCGGTCTCTTGCAGCTGAGCAAAGGTGTGGAACAAGACCAGAGTCTGAGCTCAAACCAAGCCCATATCCTCCTCCTCCTCCTTTCTCCAAAAAGGACTCTTTTTTTTTTGGCAAAGATTAGCAGGAATTTCTAGAGAGAAGCGTTATGTGAAAAGCTTGCAGGAGCCTAAGGATTTTGCTATTGCTTGCAGTAGTGATCAGATCCCCCGTTCTGCAGTAACAAATGAATACAGGCCATTGCACAAATAAGAATCAAAAATATTATCCTCAGCCTCCAGAAATGTGCTTAATATATCCCTAAAAGAGAGGAAAAAAAAAAAAAAAAAAAAAAAAAAAAAAAAAAAAAGCTACCTGTCAGCTAGGAGCTCTGAAAGCAGGAGAAAGCAAAGCACAGACCCCCAGCGGGGCTGTCCTTGGATGGTCCCGGGGGCTCTCAGGAGAGCGTGGACAGCGCTGAGGTCAGTGGTGTGTCACCACCTGGGCTCTCGGTGTTCAGCATGGGCCAGCACACAGATGCTAAGGTTGAGCCAGCTCAATCCCTTATCCTTGAATGGAGGTAACCAGTAGATCTGATGAGAACGTGGACATTGCAAGCAGAGATGTCATTTCACATCATATGTGGGTGCTGTGTAATTGAGGGCAGGAGGAAATAGCAAATAGAAAGAATCCAGTAGAAAGAATATTTCTCTGAATTGTGCTCATCAGGTGGGATATTGGCTTTAACTCGCTGGTTAACAGAAAGGACCAGAGAGTTTTTCAAACCTAAGAGTTGCTTGGCTTTATGTCTTCTTCGGAGCTCTGTGATTGTTCTATAAAAATAGATAAAATGAGATAAGTAGAGTAGTTCACACTGATTTCTGCAAACTGAACCCCACAGTCTTTCAGATTACCTCAAATGATAGGGCTGGTGCTCCAGCACAACAGCTCGCTGTCCAGGGGTCAAGCTCAAGAGTAACAACTACCTCGGTAGAGAGCAGAGGCTCAAAGCCAGAGAGGAGGCAAAATCTGCCACGTACTCCTCGTGGGATACTTGTTACCTCTGCACCTGACGCTTCTTGACTCAGTTTCATTCCCAAGACCTTTCCTGTCCTCCATCTGGTGCCCCAAGCACCCTAATGTCGGAGTCCCCATGAGATCCCGCCTTGCAGGGAGATCCAAGCCCCACACATGATAAACCCTGTCCTGACATCACACCTGGCTTGCCCTGAACATTTCACAGCTTCTGGTCTTCAGATTAACCAGAACCAAAGACCTGGAAGCAGCTGAGCTCCACAGAAGCTGCTCTCCCGCAGTGACCAGTCCGTCCAGCTCGGCAGTGGCAGGAATGGTGTAGATGGAGACACAGGAAAACATCACAGAGAAACATCCACGTAGAGTTCCCCTCCGCATCTGCCAGCCCCAGCTGAAAGCGGCTCCCACGGAGACCAGCAAATTAGTCATTTTAAATACCAGGGTGGAGATTCACCCGTTCTATCTACCCTTTATTATCAGCAAATAGGATGTTGATGTCTGTACATATCTCATTCAATACAGATGCTTTAACAGCACGGTTGTATTATTTACCTATTATTTCCCACTGAGAGAGATTTGAGACGTGATATRTATGCATCATAGGCCACTAGAGACAGTGCAGAAGAGACTCAGTGTAAAATTTCTTGTTGCAAAGCTCACCCAAAGGTCACTGGTCTAACAGAACTGAACCATTTATTTCTCTAAGCTGGTTATGAAACCCCCAGCTCAGAGAACGGGAGTTCACCTAAAATCAGCTGATTACATTTGGTCTGAGCTTGGTCAGACCAGAAGCACTGAATGCAAGCAGTGGCCTCCAAGAGAAAGAGGAAGTCTAACTTGCTTGAATTTGTACAAACACATATACGAGAGGCAGTAGTCACATGAAAATAGCCTAATATTGCATGAATTTGGGTCAGCTTGCCACAGCTTGGCATTATTTGTCCTGGGCAGCAGAGGGCACTGCTTATATGTTCTGATCATCTGGAAAAATAGAGAAAAGGCCTCTACAGAGGTGGAGATCTGCATTGGGAGAGCTCCTCTGCCATCCTCACCCCATTTCTTGCTACTTACAGATAAATTTCTTACAGCCGCCTCTTCTCTGTGCTGCCAGTGGCGCTTCAGCTCACAGGTAGTGAGGTCCTGTGTAGCTGGAGCTGGCCTTGCTATTTGTCGCTCTACAGTAATTTAGCCCTCCTTTAGAGATAAGTAATTATTTTTATCTCCCTCTTTTTATACAATCTGGCTCTTAAGAAGTCTAACCGCAGCAGTGTTGCRGGGAGAAGAATTTAAAAGCAGATACATTTTCTGTAAAAATAGATGCTATAGACATTAAGATGTTATTACTGTCAAAAATCCCATATTTCACAGGACCATATGGGGTAGACAGAAATAACATATAACTCTGCCCAGCTCTCCTCCTCTCCTACAGCCGGGGCGGATCCTTATAGCAACCCGCACAGCTGATCCACCTCATCGCTGATCCCCAGCCTTTTCACCCCAGCCTTGGCYTTGTTAGGCAGGAATACTGAGGTTCCTCCCTCCTGCTATTCCAGTCTCATCCTGCCTTGCTAGGACATTCCCTGACCCCCAGGTCCTCAACCAAACCCCTGGGCTGCGGTTGCTCCCGTCCCAGTGTCTGACACCGAGACGATCTGTCTGGGTGCAGAAGGGCTGGAAATTTCTGCAGCTTTTTCCAGGCATGGCAAGCAGGAAGCCCTGGCAACCCCCAAACTTTGAGTCATTTTTTTGGCAAAGTTTTGCTAAGGGTAGAAGAGCAGGTTTTGTGTTTTCTTTTAACACAATTGGATTTGTGTTAAAATTATTTTAATGTATCCAGTAATGTTTTCCTAAGCCTAAGAAATGGTTGAGCCTCTTCTGCAAATTAAAAAACAAGCAACCCGTGGCAGACAGCAAGTGAAGTTTCAGCTCTTACGCTTATGACAATTAAAAAGTTTGAAGCACTGAAATGTGAGAATCTCATAATAAGAAATACTGGGCATTTTTAGTTATACGCAAGGCTGGTAACCCCAACGGGTAGAGTTGAGGTRCCTTGGTGAAAGCTTGAGGAGGTTTAGGAGAACAGAGGTGCCCTTGATCTCTATGATCTAAGCATGTTAGGGAGGAGGAGTTCCCCTTGTCTCACTGAGAAGTCAAAACCAGGAGTAAAAGCTGTGCGGATACATCCGTTGTCGAAAACGCTGCTGAAAACACACGTGAGCAGGAAGAACCTGAATGAATGCAAAGTATGAGAATATAGCTGACTACCTACAGCRTTGCTCAGATCGGTTACTGACTTCACACTTCTCCGCAAATTGGGGGAGCTCAAATTAAAACAGGCCTTCTTACCTCATCTTGTGGCCTTTCTCAGTGTGAAACTCCCACTGAATAAAAGAGTTTGGGTAATTTTTCATGAATAAAATGCGCGGGATTGCATCTTCTCTTTTTAGTCWCTGGAAGAGGAGTTCTAATTTCTAAAAACTGCTATATGAGAACATAAAAARATGCATTTCAGCGTAGTTTGAAGCAAGCTCTTCACACAGTTCTATTCTAAGGATTGCTTTCGAGTTTAGATGCACGTAAGAAATCTTAAATCAGGCAGTTACTCATTCTTCAAAATTATTAGCACCTGAAAACACAAGCCATATTTGAAAGCTCGTCCTCCAAAGAAAACTTTAATGACTTCATTGCAATAAACAAATGGTAAACTCTCGCCAATTATCACGTTWTCCATGCAGCCATGGACCGGGTCAGCCAACATTTGTAATGTTTTCCAGCAGCAGTAGCACGGCAAAGCTGGGAACAATTTGCAGACACACAATCCCCCTTCTCCCTTGCCCACAAGGAAGTGCATGGGGTAAGCGTGACCATCATTAAGAGGTCRTGAGGACAGTGCAGTGTCTCAGCACGAGATTTTACTGATTTTGACAGTATCAGGGAAAACTTTCCAGGCCCAGAACTGAGCGTGTTGTAGATCCATTGAGAGGGAAGGAACATGCCCATTGGACCCCACAGATGGCTGCAAGCAGGCGACTCCTGCTTGCAGCTCCCCATGGGTCTGGGATGATCCGAAGCGGTGCAGCCTGGGTCCTGCACGCTGCACCTCTGCTGAACCGGCCCTCCCGCTCAGCTGAGCCCACCCAGAGACCATTTGGGGGCTCATTTTGCACCACGCTACTCCTCCTCAAAGAAGACAGGATCCTTTTCCACCAGTTTAGCAGCCAGAACCAGTTTACCGAGGGTGAGATGAGCACAAGTGCTGGCATAAAAGCAGAGGCAGAACCTGCCTCGGGGAACATAACGAAAGGTGGAACTGAGCAGGTAGATCAGCTTAAACTGAGCACAAAACAAATGTCCTAACCATCGTGGAAGAAGGAAGCAGAGGCCCCTTACACTGGTGCTGTTCCCTTCGGTGGAAATAGTTCAGTAGTCACTGACCTAAAGGGATAGGGATTCTCCTTGTTGCGGGAATCGCTTGTTCACCTTCTTTCACCTTTCCAAACAAACTGGGAAAGCTCTCCATTCTGTCCCCAAACAGGAAAGCTTAGAAGTCTTAGAAAAGACTTCTTAGAAAAGTCTTAGAAAAAACTCTTTTTTCTTTTATTCCAGGACAAAAATATGTGCTCCTCAGCTCCCACTTGTTTAATCCAGTCTCAGAGTGCTGCAAGCACTTAGGAGAAAAATTATTTCTGAGGCACTCGTTCTGTTTACCAAAGTCCTTCCCTGTATGTCAACATGCAGCAGGACAGCATGGTCTGAGCCTAGAGCGAAAGAAAGAGAAGCATTTTAGAAAGACCAAAAAAAAAAAAAAAGAGGAAAAATAAGTTCTAAAGGAAGTGAAAGTGGCTCCTTAGTCGCTGCTAAACAGTCGAGCGGGTTTCTGAGATGCAGAAATAGCAGCCGTGTCCTCCCGTGGCCACGGGGGGCATCTCGCTCTCAGCTTGCCTCCTCACCCTCTCAGAGCTCCCAACGTTTTTCATCATTATTACTTTTACTGTCACATTTCAGGTTTTCATCTCAGACCAAAGGTGAAATTACTTTGAGAAATTTGAAGGAAGAGGAAAGACCAAATTATCAGGCAGTTATGGGGTCCTGAAAACATGCTTTCTATTTCTGAATGTATTTCATACCCATAGCTCGAGCAGGTGGTTTTTTTTAATCTTTATTTGCCACGGATTTAACCCTTAAGACTGAAGTTTTGCAAGGTGTTAGAACACATCAGCCTCTCAATAAACGTTTCTATAGGATACCTTTAGCAGGCAGACCCACAGGCTGTATTTAGATGCCTCCTGCTTCTAGCAGATCCTTATGCTTTGMCTTCCCTGGCGTACAAGGAGGACCTCCCGACTCCTCTTGGTCCCTCTCTGCACAAAATCGTGAGCAGCATCTCTAGATCTTCCARTCTTTTAGGCCAGTTCTCTTCTAAGAAACACTTTTCCTGCCATCGCACCCGTGTGGTGAGCCCCTGAGGATAACGCTCCCGGGAGCGCCAAGCCGTGCGCCCTTGACCGCGCTCGGTAAACCCTGCTCTCTCTTCACCCCAGCTCCACGGCCTTATCCCTTGCAGGAGCTTTTGGCGGCCCTTTCAGTCACCTGTCTGCATGAATCCCCCAGTGTCTGGTGTGTGTGAGCACACAACTTCGGTACATGTTGATCATCTACGCAGTGACAAACTGCCCCCTACAGCTCTCACGCGTCTTCCTCCTCCTCCTCCTCCTCCGCCAGAGACAAGAGGGGCCCCTGGCGTTTCCCATCAGCCACCAGATCTTTCCAGTCTCCCAGCACTGGGACTGGACGGACAGTCATGTCCAAATGGTCACATTCCTCCATGAGCATTCCTAGCTGCTTTTCTCTCTCCTTCTGCCTCCTAATGATAGAAGGTCTGTGCTCCTGCCGTGTGCCAAATCTAGATCTAGTTCATATGAGCTGAGGGAGTTTTTCTGAGTAGATTAGTCGTGTGCTACCTGGAATTGATCCCAGTCTATCATTTAGCAGGTACAGTATAAAAGATAAAAGGGAACTCATTTTGCACCTACAGGTCAACGCATGGATTTGATGTTATTGCATAGATGAGATTTTCAAGTACTGAACAATAAAAGCACAGAGATTTATGCAACGAGGAGAGAGCTAATAGGAGAAGTAGCGGCGCGTTCCATGCGTTTAACTCCTCGGCTGCCATGTGGTACGGATGACGTTTCTGGCTGGGGGTTACTAACGTGTAGGGAAGAGCTGTTCCCAACCTGTCCGCAAGCGCTGGCGCCGAGCGCAGGCTGCAGCCGCGCTCCGGAGCTCCGCGCATTCCTCCCCAGGCAGAAAAGCAAGTGCCCGAGAGAAGACAGATGTAGAGCATTGGGTCCTGAGATACTTTGCTGCCCGAAGGAGGAAGCGTATCCGTATGGAGCTAGCGCCGCTCAGGACGGGGAGACGGGGGAAGCGCCCGAGCGGGTCGCGAGCCCTGCGGAGGCGGCGAGCGGGATAGGGCAGCGCCGCAGGGTGGCCAGGCCGCTGCGCTGGCCAGAGGGCAGAGGCTGAGCTCCCCGCTGCCCTCCTCCCCGAGCCGCTCYGCTCCCGGAGGGAGACACGCTCCGCATCGCCCTGCGTTGGGAGGCAGCTCCGCAGGGACCCCTCGTGTGCCGCCCCCTCGGAGCTGGTGCGCAGGCAAGCAGGGCCGGGGCCGGGGAGGACAGGCCACCCACGGCGTGGGAGCCCCACAGTGGGGCTGAGGGAGGACAGGTCACCCCCAGCGTGGGAGCCCCACAACGTGTGGGGCCTCCCACGAGGTGCTGGGACGGGGCGCGAGCAGGGCGACCGTGGGGACGGGGGCTCCATGTGCCGGAGCTGGGCGCTCTCCGTGGGGCTGTGGGGCTGCCGAAGGAGGGTGCAGGGCTAGGGGGGCTCGGGAGGCCCCTGCCCAGGGTGCTGCGGAGGAGATATTGGGGAGGCAAAGTGGTGATGGTGGTGATGGTGGTGATGGTGGTGGTGGTGGTGGTGATGGTGGTGGTTGTGGTTCTGCAGAGG